AAGCCTTTAAAAAAATTGCACATGGAGAATATGAAACAAAATATTTTATTTTAGGTTTTATATATACATTTGAATAACTAAAAAAAATCATAAATTACTACATTAATACCAGAGAATTCCACTATAATTTATCAAGCTTAATAACTAAGATGTACTTTAGTTTAAAAAAATATGAAATTTTGATCAGACTAAAGACACGTTTTACCTGGTTGAAATATTGGTTCAAAAGAAAGAAATGGCATCAAGTCCATTAAAATGGCTGAGAAAGCCACTAGGGGGACACTCTTAGCTTTGGTTATTCATGTCATATATAAAAGTGTATATAAGGGAGCATTTCCAAAAATAGAAAGAGGTGGGTGGGGTGATACTGTGTTTGATTTATTACATGAGCAATATCTTAGCAAATTGAAAAGATAAGATGCTCTTATGTTATATTCTAGCTTGTCAATATTGGTAATTTGAGTTCCTGATTCATTCGAAACTATAGACTTAGTATTCTGACTTCACAAATATCTAATTTGAGCCAGTGTTGCATTCAACATACCACGTGACAAACAAAAATTGGTGTTTATCCGTGTTTTTTTTTAACATTTGCTTTTAAATTAAGAAATTGAGTAATATATAGTACTAAAATTTGAAGTATAATCTACAGTTTGATACCAAACTTATTGACATAAATTTATGAAATAGTAGTTCAATAGAATTTTGAATGCAAGTCAACAAACGAGATGACATGGCCTTTCACCCGTGACCCATCTCGAAAAGGGTTAATAAAACTTTTTTCTTGTTAATAGCAAAATTCTATAGTCCAGTATGTTTTTAATTTGTTACCATGTTCCTGTTTAACAAACAATACTCCTAACACTAAAACTTTTACAACATTATGATAATATTTCTCCCATAGTCATATCACTGAATATGATCCAAGATTTTGTGGAAATTAAATACAAGTTTACGAATACTTATGTACTTTGTTTACTTATCAAATCATTGATTAATTAATAAATTTCATTTTCAAAAGTCTAAAAAAATAAAACCTGGAAATGGTTATGAAATAAGATATTCTAAATGTCTGTTATTTGCTTGTTTTAAATATACGAGTTGCTTGAAATGTATTATTCTAAAAAAAAGTGGACTAAAGATGTTGAAAGTGCAATTACGTTAAACATTAAAACAAACAGACGACACCCACCTGATAATGAGTGTGGTTTAATTTCAAACACAATGACATTTCCTGTGTATCATCAAATCATGCCAACAATGTGTGTTGAACTGCACACAGTACATACATAATATTTAGCCTCTTCTACACATGAAAAGGGTTAAAGCTGCAAGTACGTTTGCTCCATTATACTTATTTCAGATTTTAAAAAATGTTCACAGCTTACAGTTCAAACAGAAGTATGACTATCTACCTGACATTTTCATCATCCTCAAGTTCACACAGGCAGATGGTACATTTCTCAATATTTTCATTTCCCTGTGAACTTCGTTGTATCTGAAACAATCAAAAATAGAGTTAATGATTGGTTGTGTCTTTAGTAAATGACTGTTACAAACGAATAATACTACCAAATAAGACAGTATTCTACTCTAGTTATATTCATAAGTATTTATGATATTAATGGAGAAGAGACAATAACATCTGCATATCTTTCTTAGTGCTCTAAATAATAGTTCTTTTTATTTATGTACATAAATAAAAACAAAAACATGAAACATAATTTAAGTTTTAAAAAATACATATCATTCCCCTACTTCTTTACAAATAATTTTTTTTTCACATACTGGAACATATTAAGCTAAAATCATTTAGTTACAATTAAAATAATTTATATGCTTACCAAAAAGAGAAATCAGCCACAGATATACATATTGTATTGGCCTGATTACAGGGAGAGGTTTTTGGATTAACAATTAGGCTGTAAAGTTCATAGTCACCTTATAATTGTGGCTGACTACAGACTCCTTCCCTCTACTTTAGCCTGTCACATTCCTAAGTGTCCCAATAGAATCTGTCTGTGCATGTGTTTGCTCAAGGTCATCACTAATTCTTGCAAGTAATCCATCTGCAGGCTGTTCAGTTATAGTACTGATTTTGCTGGTGCATTATTGCTTTGACTGTGCTCATTTTAAATTTTATAATAATTGCTGTCTGTGAGTCTCATTTTAGTGATTGACCCTTGTGCAAAAATGAGTGACCACATTGAAAGACAGGGAACAAGAAAGTGTCATATTAACAAAGGATTACAACAGAGTTATAACGAAAATCTTGATATTATGGTGGTGTGTGAGGTAGAAAAAAAACAAACAATTGTACCAGTGCTAGGAAATTTGGTGTAACTGAAAATAATGTGAGGCATTGGTGGAAACAAACGACAGAAATCCTTAATGCACATTCTACAAGAAATGCATTTCGCAGACCTAAACAAAAAAGACATTATGACAATTTTTTTCCCTTCCTATGGTTTTTGAAAATTGGGGTCATTTCATATTTGAGATCACCTTATAATCGAGCCAATACGGTATATAAATATTCCAAGTAAAAATTGCACAAACACAAACTAATTTAAGATTATTAAGATTTCTGAAAAAAGAACCCATTCTTTACCTTAAATATTTTCTGACTATTAACAAAGTTCAATAAACTTACTTTTTTGTACTTGTATGGGAACGTATTTTGCTCAATTGTTGCTTGGGATGCTCCTCTATTAACTCCCAACCTCCGCTGTTCCACACTTCTCACATAATCCTGAAGTGACATAAAAATACATTTTAAATAAAATACAATCATAATATCGTCTATGAATGAAAACAACTCCCAAAAACATTAAGAGCAAATAGCATAAATGTGTGACCAATAAAAGTTTATTCACATAGCCAAAGCATCCAGAAATATATCTGTATATATATATTATTAATATGAAGAGCAAGATTATTATATCAGTGTCTACTCTAGCTTTATCAGTACTTTTAAACACTTAGGTTAAGCTTTACAAAGCCATAAACAATATCATTTCACTTATGCTTTCAACATAGGAGCATAAGTTATTGCACAGTTAGCTAACATTAAAAGGTTTTAGTAATTAAACAGTATATAAAACAAATTATTTAGACTAATCAAGTGGAGGGTACAGTAGAAAGAAATTTCAACTCAGTAGTTATATCCTTCCTTGTAATGTGAAGAAAAGAAATTGTCGGCTGAAAGTAAGACGAGAACACCCTGTGAACTAAAGTCTGTACTTCCCCAACAGACCCCGAGACTCATGAGGACCATTGTTGATTTTTCGGGATATAATCATCAGCCATATTATATCTCAAATTCATTGGAACAAATTAGAATTTGGAAAACAGAAATGAGTACAAAAAATGGAAATCACACACAAGAAGTCAAAATTTGAAGTAGAAACTGATATGAATTTGTGATCAAACACAATCAAAATTTTGTAGTCATATGGAGAGTGAGTTAAAACACACATCTACACACTAGAATACCAGTCAAGAAAGTGAGGATTATTCTAGGATAGTAGTGGAAACTAGCTGCACCAGTATAGAAGGCACAGTAAGACTGGTGGAGTCACATGATTAGCAAGTTTTGAAATGGCACAAAACTGATGGGATATAAAAGACTGGTGAGTCTGTTTCAGAATTGAAACATAGCCATTTTGAATTGAAAGTGGATTATAGTGTTTGTTTGTTGTTGTTGTTAAGCACAAAGCTACACAATAGGCTCTCTGTGCTTTGCACACCATGGGTATCAAAACCTGGCTTTTAGCATTACAAGCTTTCAGGGTTACCACTGAGGCACTGGGGGCAGAATTACAGTAGCTAAGGATTTCACATCTTCAACTATATGTTACTAAGTCTCAAAAATTACTCTAGTTTAATTCTGATACACAGTGTTTACAAGGGCATTTCAAACAGACTGTAGTCTAACCATGTAATTTGGTGAAGTATTTTATCTATATGCATAGAAATGAATAAAAAAACCCTATAACCAGAGCGCTTTCGAAAGGTGGACCTTTCTTCTTCATTGGCAAACTGGGAACCTATATACATTGTTACATATTGAGAATTTGAAATAATCCAAGGCCGCGTTAAATAATTTAACTTTTAATAGTTGAGACGTACCTTGGACTTAGCGTTTAGAAATATGTGGATATTTAATTCACTTTATGCTATTTGCCAACAGGATTGATTCACACCATTTTTGGTTTTGACACAAATAAGCTTTAATATATATATATATATATACACAATGCTATAATTTACAATAGCAACTCTTATTATTAATTATTACAAACAAAGTTTTATAAACAGAAATTTCCTAAACTTACAAATAGCCTAAAACCATCTTCCTAGTTCAGAGTCTCCTTGATATCCAGCAAGTTGTACATACATATAAAATTTAGCAGAAAGCTAGCTAGCTTTGTCAGGCACTGAATTGTTGGACTGTTAAAGCAAGATAAGTAATATTCTTGGAGAGATATTAACATTTGATGGAAATTCACTGACGTTTGAAATTTATAACTGTTTCTGGTCAAATGTCGTATGTCTTCCTGTTGATAAGGGTTAACAAAATCACAGTTTATAGTTTACATGGTTATAACAGTTTCATAGTAGTCTCTTCTCTGTTCTCTGCTGTTTTATGGCACGATGCCTTTTTATACGTGCTATATTTAACCAGATACGAAAATGGATATTGTTGATTCCTGTGTTCACGAATGTTCTACAATCTTGGAAAATTGGCGGGAATTTTGCCATACATAACTAAGACGGAAAGCTAGACACGCCCTCAAATATAAACTTATTCAAAACATATGTTGACATTAAAATAAATATATAACAAATTTGTTATACACAACACATATCTGATAATACAAGTCACACCTATTTCTAAATACAAATTCAATCCAAACAATGTTCATATTAAAAATAAATACATAATAAAAAATTTATTACAACATAAATGGTCATGACAAATGTGTTCTTCTGATTTCTGGAAATAGCACAAGGCATGCTATGTTGCAGATGGTTAATCACACACTGAGCTGGTATAAGTACAAAATGTAAAGGACAACCGTTATTCTTTTGCTAGCAATGCAAGCTTTTGATTAATCAATCATGTTAATTGAACTGAAACATCAAAATGGCTGTAATACTACAGCAGCATTATAGCACCAATTAAACTTGTGTGATAGGCACAGCTTTTGCTGTCAGCATACTGATCAGAAAGAAATACAGGAAGTGAGTGCAGCTACTTGATAAAGTTATCATGAGTTATTGCAAGTTTGTGTCATACCTCTTTGGGATGTCACATTTATGCCATTTAGTGGCAGTGTTTAAAATGGGCTGGAACCCACCAGAACTCAATTCTGGGAGAACTGTGTGAGCTGGTAATAGCTTTCGTGGCACCATTAATAAGCAAATATCACTTTCACATAGTAGTGTAAAGTTTTTTTTTGCAAAACATAGACATCTACTCATTTAGTCAATGATCTATATTAATTCTATTTATTGTATGTAGTTCTGTAGAAAAGACTAAAAACAATGACAGACATAGACCAATGTTCTCTAGATCTATAGGCCTAGTATAAAAAAAACTATAGCATCTAGCTATCAATTCATACCTGTGTAGATCATTAATTCTCTCAACACGGGCTCGGTCAATCTGTCCAACCAAGTAACCTCTTTGTACTAATTTAAAGTCTTTATAGATTTAATTCCACTAACTTTTAATATAGTATGTATATCTTCACAAGATTTGACAGTCTTTCAGTTGACATTACGTCTTTCACATATAAAAAATAATATTTTTAGTGAAATATTATTAATAAACCAAAATAAAGACTTGTACATGAATATATTGAGTATTTGTTTGGAATAGTCCCTGTGCAAATTGATTTTCATGTTAAAATTAAAAATACTTTTCTTCATCTCAAATTTCCTTTGTGTAATCCCTAAAACCTCCTAAACACATTTCAAATGTTTGTTTTCAGTAAAACTTTATATTTCATCTGTTATTTTCACTACCCTATCTTTATATGGGTTGGTCAATTTGACCAGACTCGTAACCACCACAAAAAAATCTAAATAAATCTAAATTATGCTTTTTTCTTTCAAGAATGACTTTAAATTGTAAAATGAAACTACATTTGTTTATCCTAAGTAGCTTTAAGCTCGTAACAGTATACATCTATTTATAATTTTATTGTTTTATTGCACTTTGAACCATGACTAACTACTATCCATGCTATGATAAGTTGTAAATCACTCAGGGAACTTACAGCACATTGAATTACATTGCCCATGAGATGCTCGCATGCATGCATCTTGAAATATTTTCATTATATTATTATTATTTATTTTACCTAATCTAGCCTAAAGAGATCCCTATTTTACATTTTAGTTACTTTTATAATAATAAATAAAGAATAAACATGAAGAACAAGAAAAATAGTACTTACT